CAGCAGATCAGTCAGGTGTATCTCAAGAAATCTGAAAGGTCTACTGGTGACATGGATTTCTGTCCCTTCGTAATCACACCAGCTTCTTCCCTGTGACCTCTTGGGGGGCTGGCTTTTATAGTGGTAGGGGATGGCTTGGCACCATCTGATTCCCCATCTCCCTGAGAAGTGTCACCGTTAATGAGCGAACAAAAACGTGATGGTGGTGGTGGTTCAGATGTTCCTGTGAGCAGCAGAGAACCAGCTCTGCAGGAGATCATTAAGATCTGCTGAGGGTCCCCACAATGTTTGCAAGCAGCTGGAATCAAAAGTGATGCTCGCTTGTGCATGGCACCTTGGCAGCTCTTGCGGTCATGGTGTGGAAACCAAATCGTATGACCCAGAGTGCACACTGCGACTGGACTTGCCTCGTGCCTTTCCTCTTGCGTAGACCTTGGGCTGGGCTGGTTACAGAGCCTGCAGCGGGCAGGTAATGGGCAGCTTGCTGTCTCGGTGGGTGGCTGTACGGAGATCCTTGCAGCTTTCCTCTGCGAAGGCAGCAGATGGCAGCATCCCCTTCAGTATCTTCAAGAGCGTGGGGCCAGAGTGCTCTAGGTCCTGGCTTGTGCCTCTGTGCTAGATGTGATGGTCTCTTTTGGGCCCCTTCCTAAGGTGTGCTCCACAAAGAGATTTTCAGATCCTTTGTTTGATAATTCACTGCTACCAACAGTCACTGGAAAGCTGTAGGGGCTCAATTTCTTCAATTCTTTGTTTCCTATTGCTATTTCAGTTGCTGATCTGACTAGCAAAGACCTGGGCTATTCCTGAATTCCTTTGTCATGAAGTTAACCCTTTCTGCCGACAGAGCAGAACTGTTGTGCTCCACAGATACACCTAAGGCCAAAAGCTCCCATCAATCAAGTGCCTGACGCCAGACACTTACACCCACCCATGGGGCTCAGTGGTTCTGGCGCTGTTCTCAGAAAGAAATTTATCTTCATGCCAACAAATAAAAACAACTTGGCAGCTGTCTGCCAACTACTAAAAAAGAAAACAAGCTTTTTTTTTGAAGTGGAGAATGCTCCTGCCTTATTGCAGGAGTTGAGATGCACTGTTGCAAAATATGTGGAATCTTGCTGCAGACCTCCTAGGTTTAATACAGGGCAGTACAAACTAGGCCAGACAATACTAATTTAAATGTACTCTGTTGTATAATGTGTGCTTAAAGCTCTACGTGATTTCTACTCTAGTAGCTACCTGCTTCTGTTCAAAAGAAAGGGGTATAGGTCACCCTCCTGGACCTGTTCTCCAGAAACACAACTCTGAGCCCCATTTCTCTGGCAAAATGGGTTGTGGAAGAGATGAAGATGAGTTTCGCACAGTCCTCTGTGCTTGCTTTGATGGCATCTACAAGAGATGAAGTCTCCACATGTTGTATTTTTCCTTGAGAGCTTGTTCATAGGTGACGTCTTGCTCATGGCACTATTGTTTTCTTCCAGGGTTGAGATGCAGAAGATGAGAGTGGTGAGGCCATCTGCTGATGTAGCCAGGTACACAATGATCTTCCACAAACGAGACAATGGTAATGAGGAGAATAGAGAGAGGTGAGTCGAGAATAGTGTTCCACCTTGCATTGTCTTGGCATGTGGCTAGGAGCCAGGCAGCTGGGGGCCAAGTTCTTTGCTCTAGGCCAGACAGGCATTTTGGGGTACGCAGAGGCTCTGGCGGACACCCCTCTTCGCAGCTGGCAGCTATTCTGTACATGAGATCTGCCTAGAATCGACTGGGTGATGTTCCTTAGAAACTTCCGCAGTTACAGTTAGATGGGTATGATTTGAGCGTGTGATTTCAGAGATTAAACCGAAGTTCTTTTTTCCCCATGCCTGGTTGTCCATGCTGAGGACAGGAGGAGCAGGGCTTTTACATTCCCAGTAGATACGGAATGGCAGTAGCTCTGCCTCCAAGTTTACTAGTAGTGACAGAGAATTCAGAACTTCTCTCCTATGCACGTCAGTAAAGATTTTTCTCCTCTTTGTCCTCAGGATGAAGCTTCTACATCAGGTGTCTAGAACGTGGAAAACAGATGGGCTGAACTCTTGTTCATATAAACTGCTCTCAGTGGAACATAACCCTTTATACATCAACGTCACGGTGGATTTCAGCGTGCAGCCCAAGGTCTCATAAGGATGAGCACCACACAGGTCACAGGAAATGGCAACAGGTCGTGTTTGTAGTCGCTGTTACAGCAGATGACTCCTGGCACTCTGCTTGAAGAGTACTTCAGTAGCACAGAAGAAAGTTTTTCTTCACAGCATCTAACTGATTGGTTGAGAATTTCCTTTTCTGAGGAGCAGAGATGTGGACTGACCTGAGGGAACAGGTCCTCATGTTCTTCTGTGCACCTTCCGCTGGGACACCTGCCAAAGTGTCCTTGTCTGGGCTGGTCAGGTGGAAGGACTTGAACTAAGAATTCTTCACCAACTACAAACTTGCTGAGAAAAGCTAATTTTTTCCAGCCTGAGGGAAAACTGCTTATGGGTGAGGGAAGGGCAATAATGGTAATGGGTGAGGAGATGTTAAAAATCTCTCAATAAATACACTCCATTGAATTCAGAAGGCCTCTCTTGTCTTTCATGAGCTCAGCTCACCCTGCTGTGGGACTACTGAAGGGTCCTGTGGCAAAATGAAAGTCTCGGTTCTGCAGTGGGCTGCAGGCTGTGTGCTACTCCGGGGAGATCTGGAAGGAAAGGCAGTGGCCAACTATGTCAGATGGAAAGAAATTCCTGTCCCCATTTTTTAATGCTTTGGGCCACACTGTTAGCAGAGTGCATGTTCATATGCCATACCCAGGCCATTATTATTTGTGATTCGTGTTTTGGAAGACTGGTGAAAGTCTGTGGACAACTCACTGTTCTACTGTGCTACAGATTCCTGCAAAAATCTTGATGAGAGCAGTGTTGTTACAGCCGGTTGTCGGATGTGCATCCCTTGCAGGTAGATGTGAAGCGAGGCTTGGGTGAGTTTTGTTTAGGACACAATATATATGAAGAATTACATGACAAAAAACAACTGCTGCTTACTATAATATTGAATGATTCTCTAGCCAGTTGACACATTATTTCAACTGTAGAGAAGACTGAAGTTTTAAATAAGTTCTTGGGTATTAAGTGGGATAGATGCAGCTTGTCAGTGAACAGGGAATTTTAGTATCTACAAGGAACAATAAAAAAAATACCCTGTGACATGCTTGCAAAACAATTGGACCTGGTGTAGGCAGGGCTACTGCCTGACTTTAATCTTTCTTTCTCTATACAGAAGGGGCAAGGTCTTGGGCAGACTCTATCAGTCTCACAGTCAAGTAAGTACAAATGCGTTCCTGCCAGGGTCACAGCTCCACTGTTGACAAGTTTGACTTAGTTTTTCCACTAGTATTTCATTTCTCAGAAGTATTTTATGTTGAAGACAGATCAACCTTGAAAGATAATTGTTTGAGCAACAGCTGAAATAGTGGATTGATTTCCCTAGTCTGAGCAGGAGGTTAGGCTGGGTGACAGCCTCAGGTTCCATTCAGCCTGAATTATTTACAGCTACAATAAAAACATTTTGAACACTGATGGATCAGGCCATAAAAAAACAAGGACTTAAGCTCTGGTTGTGTCTGGTTTCTCCTTTATTACACTCTTATTAAATATGCTAGAAAATCTTAACCCAAACACATAAACTTATTTTACTCAAATTCACAACCGATATTTACAAAACTGGAACGGGCTTCAACACTTTTGCAAAATACAGCATGTCAGAGGCCTGTCTGACAGAAGAGCTTGCATCCCAATTAATACTTTGGCACAAAGCAGGACAGAGCTACCCAGCTGTGGAACACAGGTTCCAGAAAACTTGGGTCAGCTTTCTGTCAAGGAGACCTTGATGACCCGAGGGCTGGGAGGCAGGTCTGGCTCAGTTTTACAGTGCCTTGACAATTTTTCCAGTAGGCCACAGCCTGCGTATTAGCTATCATACCTTATTCCTGAAGCCTTTTCTTCTAAATCTTAAACAGGTAGAAGAAAAGTGAAATGCATGAAAGACAAAAGGATTAGTCTCGGGTGACGCCGACCCCACACTGCAACAGGAGGTGGAGGTTGAATGCCCATATGCATACTGCCATGCTGAGCCCAAACTCTGCTTTTGTTTTCTTAAGAAAATGGAGGAACATATCCAATGTCCACAGTGATGTTGGTATAAAGAGGATGCTTGGTCCTGGAAAGGAGCTTGAACTCTAATGAATTCATTCCATCATCTTTCCATGTTTTTCTGGTGTTGTGTCGGGACGTAGGCCTGAAGAAGGAAGAATACCTGCAGTTAGATAGAAGAACAGAGGTGATGTTTGCAGCTGAAGCTGCAGAAGAAATAGTCTTCCAGAGGGGGTAAGGACTCAGCAGATGAAAGCTGCTTGCAGAAACACGCCAAGAAAATTCTCATCACGTAACACAGACTAGAGAGAGAAGGCATTTTAGAGTGAGTTCACACCGAGTATTCTACAGGAGGACAGTTTGGACTGGAACTGAATCAGACAGGGAGACCAGTGAGGTGGCAACTACAGTCTGCAAAAACCCAAGACACTGGCAGCACCTGGGAGTGCGACACAGAGGCTTGCAGCAAGGGTGTACATAGGCTGCTGCAGGTAGGTTTTAAGGCAGGGTTGTTACGGAAACCTGAGTTTTGAGATGACAGAGGGAAGCCTGCAGTGTTGGTATCAGAAGTTTCCACCATGCTTGACCCAACACCCTCCTCCAGCTCTTTTATATAAAAACTGAGTCTTTGCTAAGGTCTCTCATAGCACCTTCCTCATGTCTTCAAACTGGAGTACTGCTTTCCACTATTTTAATGGCACATTGTAAATCCACACAGATGGAGGAGCAAGGTTTTATTATAGGGAGGTTGTATCAAAAGTGCCTCTTCAAACTGAACTCTCCCTACTTACAACAGGCAGTATTTTTTTTAAAGTTTTATTCCTTGAATAATTTGATGCTTACATCTGTGTTAGCTTCCTAGTTCCCACGTGTCCTTAACAGTAGGAAACTAGGAGAAACCCTTCAAATGAAGAGACGGGTGCAGAATCATTCAGTTGAAACTGACTGGGAGCCTTCTTCAAATAGCCACATTAAAGCAAAAAAACAAGCAGTGGCATACTTTCTGCCTGTTCCGAGGAAGATGACGGTAACAATCAACCTGCCACAAGGCAAAGAGCACCCTCCTAACTGCTCCCCCCCACAGTTACCTTCTCCAAGGCTCTTGTGTCTCTGTGCCTTCATTGTAGTCCATCACTTTGTACCGTCCAAGGTGAGGTGACGTCCGGACTATCTTCATTCCTGCCAACTGAATCCTTTAAAACAACAAACAAAATGTTTGCTTAGGCATAAAGATGTCATTTCTAGGCTTAGTTACAGGGAAATTCAAAGTCAGAGATTATTTTCAGTGTTAATGCAATCAAAGCAAAATGCAGAAGCTGAAGGGAACGAGTTTTACCACCACAGTGCCGCATTGTCTGCTCTAGCAGGTTCTAACCCGGCTGGGGATAGAAAGCTCCCAGCTGCAGTGTGCTTTGGCAGGGTGCAAAGAGGATTAGAGCAAGCAGGGAATGAACAACAGCATACAGAGCATTCAGGAGCAATTTCCATGAATCTGACAATTCAGCATTATTTTCACTTCCTTGTAAGACCAGAGCTCTTACTGCCTAGAGGTCTAGTACCTAAACTTAAGAGGGAAAAAAAATAAAAGGGCAAAACCTCCAACCCGGCAGTTTCTGAAAGGAAGCCAGTCACGCGTTTCAGACTGAGATTAGGCTTCTCCCTGTTCTTTGAGAAGTGCCCTTCATTCAGATGCCCTGATTAGAGGACTGGCTTCATAAAAGATTAGTGATTAACGCAGGCACCAGACAGATGTGAGCTGCTCAGCTGCAGGACAGTTAGACAGGAAAAAAGTGAACCGAAGGCTCAGAATTCCAGAAGAGAGCTCCTAAAAATCACCATTCTGGGTGACTTTCAAGCAACTGATTGCTGATGTCATCTCTGTTAGTTTACCAATGAAAAGTGCCTGTAATAGTGCTGGGGCTAGCAAACCTCTGTTACCACAGAGAAAATTCCTGTGAACATAAGAACGAATGTTTGCTCAGTGGAGGTTATCTAACTGGCATGTTTGCAGCATTTGATTGCCTTCCACTGAGATCTGGTGCAGCAGCAAGCTGCACTGAAACTGGAACGTTAGAAAGCTGGAAGAGGCTACAGAACTGGAAATATTTGTTAGTCTAGAGCCATCAAATGATTACAACGCTTCATTGACAGGAAGACATGCTAGTATTTCAGATTGAGTTTTAGACAAGGTTTCTTGTTTTCTGAACACAAGCTTATTGCACATTCAATCAAGAAGACAGGAAAAAGCAAGAACACTAAACTAGCTTTGCTGTTACAGTTTTTGCATTTCAAGATTCAATGAAGATCGTAATATTGAACTGTTAAGAAGAACCCAACAGACTTCCCTGTAGTTGATAATGTTAACATGCAAGTGGTTCCAGTTAGAGTAGTGTTTTCTTTTAATAAAAGGTAGATCCTGGTGTTTGCTAGGACTCATAGTACAGAGTACTACAGTCTGTCAGCTGTAAGTAGCAGCCTTTTCTTTTTTCCCCCCACTAACTCTGCTTTAATAAGCAGTATCCCAGCATAAAATCTTTACGTGGGACTTTTTTTTTTTCCATTTCAGTGTCCAGTTTCAAATACTAATTAATTTTGTTGTTATGTGGTAAGAAGTGCTTTAGCACCTCCTAAAAATCCAAATCCCAGTAAGTGCATCGAGCTGCCCATTCAAAAACAGCCAGCTCATTCCCAGCTTCCGCAGGTTGAGACTCCAGTATGTGAAGAAATCATTAACAGGCACTGTCCACGGCCTCCATGTACCCGCCGGCCAGGACATTGCTAATCGTTAGTATAAATTTTCAGAGAAACAACACACGATTTACTTCCCTTCAAGAAAGGGCCATTTTGGGATGTACGTAACCCACTTGCCTGAAGAGATTTCTGTACAACCGACATGACTCTACCACTGATACTGAAAACCACATTAGATGCCCAAGCTGTACTAAGAACAGCTGAATAGACCCAGCATTGTAGTGTTTGATTTAAAGACCTATTTTCCTGGCACTCCATTCCTTTAGTAAATGCTGAATCTCTAAACAATCATGTACCCTTTTAGTTAGCTTTCTCTGAAAGGAAAAGGAGGAATTCTGTGTTAGAAAATCTGATTTGCAGTTCCCAGAAGAATACTGCTTTGTAAAAACTCCTACAGTCCTCGAACAGAACATTCCACCGAAACCGTGTAACTTGTCACACTGTGCAAGACCAAAAAACACACAAGGCCTTTATTGTCAGTACGGTTTTATAAACTCCCCATGAGCTTGCCTCAGTGCAGA